TTCTATTCTCCTAGAAATGTTAGGAACTGTGGGAGAATACAAATTTCACAAAATGAAGATACTTAGTCATGTTTTCTAAAAAATCTTGATGTTAACTCCTTTTCTTCTTTAATAAGCTAAGTGTCTTTTATTTTCGTGGATTAATTTAAGAATTTTTGTAACTATTTGATAGAGATTCTTATTTGCTTCCAAAACTTAAACACCAGTATAAACAGATACAAAGGGCACAATTTAACATGTTTTATTGGCTGAGTAGAAAGGTCAAAATTACCAAGCTTTATAGAAGCACCAGTAGAAGTATACAGTAGGTCCCTTGTAGAAATCATAAATGAGAGCCAGTGTAGGCAATGTCCAAAAGACAAATACAGATTTTGAGTTGCTATCTGTGATGGAAGCAGAGCAATTGTTAAGAGTTTGACTAGGTTGCAAAAGAATTTAAAGGGCCAGCAGCACTTTTAAGAATACACAAGACAACTTTATTGTTCTTATGTAACATTTACTGAGAAGCAAGGCATGCCAAATATTAAGCAATCCACAGAATTCCTCAGAGGCCCTACCCAGTGATTCTATTTCCAAAAGAGATAAGTAGGTAAGATACACAAATGAAATCAATTGGTTTGGTTAATGCTGCCTTTCCAGAAATTTACACCGTGAATGGAGCATTAGTACCCCACTTCAACCATTTTGCTAAGAAAAAAAGTGAGAATAAATGAGACAGTAATTTGGAAAGTAATAAGTTTGGTTTCTAAAACAAAATATACACAGCTAATCAGATATACTTCTGCATTCATGTTTTAGTAAGCCTAGATTTCAGAGTTATTTAAGTTTTAACCAAGAAAAAAAAATGATTTGCTAGTGAGAGGTCAGTTTTCCTAAATGACATTGACTAGCAAATTTCATATGACATTTGAAATTTGCCTTGATCTCTTGCTAAACTCCTAAAATGTTCTGTAATTCTCAGCTGTTGGTAGAATTCGGAGAACACTTGTAGAAAATCAGCTATGGTTGCAACCATGTTTATCTTCAACTATGGTAGCAGGACTTCCTTTGACATGCTGGTGTTCTTCTCTTGCAGGGACTTTACGTTTTTGTGGTTTATTTCATCTTACACAACCAGATGTGTTGCCCTATGAAGGCCAGCTACACGGTGGAAGTGAATGGGCATCCAGGACCCAGTACAGCCTTTTTCACGCCCGGGAGTGGAATGCCTCCTGCTGGAGGGGAAATCAGCAAGTCCACCCAGAATCTTATCAGTGCTATGGAGGAGGTATCTGCCCTTGCCCTGTCTTTCTCTGTCTCTGTCTCTCTCTCATTGACAGCTTCTCCATCTCATAAAGAGTGCAAGATAAATGACATTAGGTGACTTTACATACTGACATCTTCTGACTTATCATACTTGATTTCCTTACTGAATAGTATCATACCTGTTTCTAACTCTTCTTGCCCGCCCTGTGAGCTATACTTACCAGCAATTTGTATTGAGAAATCAGACAGAGTATAATTTGACATCTCTTTTTTCAACATTTTCCTAATTTGACATGGCAGTGACTGGGTCTGCCTAAGAAATGATTTTTAAAATACTGTTCCTCCTAAAAATACTTTCACAGCTTTCTCCTTCACCCATCACAACTCACTACTTCAATCCCAGCAAACACTCAGTGAAAAGAAAGTAAATTGAAACTCCTTTCAATTTAAATACTAGAAAATATTTTAGAACAAAAGTTCAGAAGAGTGCTTCTGCAGCACTACTGGAAAATCTAGCCAGGATTTCCTCTGTAAAATCGACCTCCCACCGCCCTCTGAATTCTGTCCACATCATTTTGATTTCCTGTGTATGAATCACATTGCCATCAACTTGTCAGTAATGCTGCCCCTAGAACTGAGGCCAGCGATTTTTAAACATCCCTGAATACATTCGGCCAGAAAGAGATGGTAACTAAGGCCCCTGACGATGTCTGGAGTGCCTGAGATGCCCTTGACTACCATTTTTTAACGAGCTTGTATTGCTCTCTCTGTATTAAGAAACCAAGGGGAAAGATATTTGTGTTTGCTTCCCGAAAAATGGCAGGAAATCAAGGTACATCTGTCTGAAAAGAAACAGTTTATAGATAAGTAGACAACCGACAGATAGATAACCTACCTGCCCAAAGAGAGTTCCTTGTCCTTCATGGAAATATAGAAAGTGATTTTATTTACGTCAGATTAAGATTAGGTAAAAGATCACAAATCAAGTGCTATAGATATTTTTATTTGAATAGGTACAATTTAATATTAAGGATTATTAACTAATAACGGAGAAAAGAGAATAGAAAGGTGGTTGTCAGGAGCTGAGGGGTGGGGGAAATGAGGGATTTGGGTCAAAGGTACAAAATTTCAGTTATATGAATAAATTCAAGTACAATATTTAAAAATTGGGATATTTCTTTAGTACCCTTAAATGTTTGGAAATACCATCTCTATATCGCAAAAGTTCTTAAAACTGAATTATTTTATCGCAAAAGGTACCTATAGAAACAGGGATATTTTTAGGATTATCAATTCAGAAATGAATCTTAAAAAATTTTTGTTTTGAATGTCTACCTAATCTAGCATTTGTTTAGAGCTGAACTGTCCAATACAATACCATTAACTACATGTGGCTATTTAAATTTAAACTAACTGAACTTAAGTAACATTAAAGATTCGGTTTATCACTCACCCTGGCTACATTTTAAGTACCCAACAGCCACATGTGTTTGGTAGAACACAGATATAAAACATTTGTATCATCACAGAAAGTTTTATTGGACAGTGGTGGTCTAGACATTCTACTTAGTGAAATTTCTTAAGGTTTCATCTTCTTCTCTCAAGTTTATTTCCAAAGCCCTTAGGTCACTTTTCTCAGTATGAAGTGTCTTTGCTGTCTCTCAGAAAACCTTGTATTGGTAGACAGCAGCTGTAACAGTTCAGTTACTGGGCCTGAGCCACTACTTGAGTGTTCATTTGGGGCGTTGCACAATGCCAGAGCCTAAAGTGTGCTCTGCATTCCTCAGAGGCTTAGAATTGGCCTTGGTTCAGCTGTCAATGAGGACTGTCGGAGACATTCTAAAAACCAGAGAAGGAAAGGGATAGGAAAGGAAGGATTAAGGGGTTGTTTACCAGCAACCCAAAGGGAAGTGAATACATACAATTGTTTCAGGAAAGAACTATCTTTTTAATCATTCAATCAAAAATAAGGAGGAATTTACAATGCTATGAAAGTATTTTTTTCAATTTAGTATGTCATTGTACATACCTACTATATTTAAAATCCCGTGTAGTATTTTAGATGAAAGATTAGGAGGATTCTTCTTCAGTTCTTATATTTTTTGTAACAGAGTTTTATTTGCACAGATCATACAAAAAAATAAAATGTATTCATTGGGTTAAACAAAGAATAGTTTTCTGTCCCCACACATGACAGCATAGAAATCTACAGTAATTATAATAGATAAATTGTGTAGAATCACCAGAGTAGATTGGCTCAGAGAGCAACATAATTTTCTAAGAAACAAAGATAAAATTAAAGGTCTTAATTTAAAAACAATTCAACATTCCTTTCCCAGTCTTTGTAATGAAATGTGAAGATAAATTATTCACATGGGTTTCATCATGAATGTGTATGTAGTCACATTATGGTTTCCTTTTCCTCCTACCCCAACCCAAAAAGGTACCACCTGACTGGGAGAGAGCATCCTTCCAACAAGCCAGTCAGGCCAGCCCTGATTTGAAGCCAAGTCCACAAAATGGCGCCACATTCCCTTCCTCTGGTGGATACGGCCAAGGGTCGCTGATAGCTGATGAGGAGTCCCAGGAGTTTGATGACTTGATATTTGCATTAAAAACTGGTACGTATGCACCCACAGTCCACTTTAGAAGTAGGTGCTCTTGCTGTGCTACAGTTTATATCTTCTTCCCATGAAGTTAAAGAAGTACAATCAGTCACCCTTAGCACATCCTGATTCTCATGACCCATTCCTAATCCCAGCCAAACTCTAGGATATTTTGTTCTTGGCACCAAATATAACACAACCTAAAAATAATTTACAATTTGCTTTTAATAAGAAGGCACAATCTAACCAAACGTAAATATCCCTGTCCTGGAATCTTGCTAGAACACCAAGATACTATTAAGACAAATTCATTACAAGAAAGTTGGTAGGGATATCACTGAGGGACTTTTGCCTCTGACCTGCCAAAGAGACCTTCAGATGGAGTATCTTTGAAGCAGAAACTTTCAAAGGCAACATAATGAACATTGTACAGTTTCATAATTTCCAAAGTGCCATCACATACAGTATTTCACTAATCCTTCCTCTGTATTTAGGCTCACTCAACTTGTGACCCAGAATGAGAGGAATACAGTCCTAAAGGCCCCAATTCAGCAGCATATGATGCTGGAAATATGTTACGGCACATAAAAGACCACGGAAATCCCTGATTGAAGGTCACATGCCTCCCAGGGGAAATAGTTAATGAATATCATTCTTTCTAGTGTGTCTAAATGATATCTACATTCATAGTATACAGCACATATTTTATTTGTCATAAATGCTATCTTGAACGTTGAAAGATAACCACAACTTGAAGTCTGGTAAATTGATGCCTCCCAATTTGTTCTTGTTCCTTAAGATTGCTTTTGCTATACAGGGTCTTCTCTGGTTCCATATGAAGCATAGAATTACTTTTTCTAGTTTTGTGAAAAATGATGTTGGTATTTTAATAGGGATTTCATTGAGTCTGTAGATCGCTTTGGGTAGTATAGACATTTTAATAATGTTGATTCTGCCTGCCCATGAACGTGGTATGGTTTTCCACCTGTTTATGTCCTCTGCTATTTCCTTCCTCGGTGTTTCGTAGTTCTCCCTGTAGAGATCTTTTAGGTCCTTAGTTAAATAAATATATTCCTAGGTATTTTATTTTTTTTGTTGCTATTGTGAAGGGCATCAAGTCTTTGGGTTCTCAGTTTGACTGTTGGCATATAGGAATGCTACTGATTTCTGTACATTGATTTTGTAACCTGAGACTTTGCCGAATTTGTTTATCAATTCCGGTAGTCTCATCACACAACATGGAATTCTACTCAGCCACAAAAAACAATGGTGATCTAGCACCTCTTGTATTATCCTGGATAGAGCTGGAGCCCATTCTTCGAAGTGAAGTATCCCAAAAGTGGAAAAACAAGCACCACATGTACTCACCATCAAATTGATATTAACTGATCAACACTTAAGTACACATATAGTGGTAACATTCATTGTGTGTCAGGCAGGTGAAGGGAGGAGGGGATGGGTATATTCACACCTAATGGGTGTGATGCACACCATCTGGGGGATGGGCACACTTGAAGCTCCGACTCAAGTGGGGCAAAGGCAATATATGTCACCTAAACATTTGTACCCCCATAATATGCTGGAAAAAAAAAGATAACCACAAAGTAATTTTACTTGTTTTCAAGTCAAATATGCAGTTTAAAATCTTTTTTCCTCAGAAAGACATTGAACTATCACTGTTATAAAAATTCCAGAGAACTTTTCATTTCTAGATATCTACACAAGCAAGGTATGTCCATGCCCAAATGAAGTTATTGAAATATTTATTCAAAAGTGCATTTTACTATATCACAGTTTGGCTGACTATAAAGTATATAGCTTTGCTAAAACAATTTTTGATCATTATAAAGTAAAAATTTTATGTTGTATCCTAAGGATTACTCCAAAATTCCTAGGAATAAAGTCACACTTTCATATTTCATGTTTTGCCACTTGCCCAAGATCACATTGTGAAGAAATGGTGGTGGCACGAAGCAACTTAAGGCCTCCTGGCTCCTGAGTCTGTGCTCTCAACCAAGGTGCCGTACGGCCTTGCAAGTGCTTTATTAGGAATGGCGAATCTGCTGAAATGAATGTGAACTCAACCTTACACTCAGAATAGTGCTTAGTGTTTAATAAACCTTTGGTAGATATGGTTCGATAATGAATGAATGCATGGATGGATGAAAACAACAAAACTTGAGTTTGCTGGGAGGAATAGACATTCACACAAACATGACATAAGAATAAAATAAGTAATGGAAAGAGTTATAATAAATTACTGAGGAGATCAAGGGGGGAAAAAACCCCTCTGTTGATTCTTGAAGAATGTGTAGGTTTTAAACAGGTAAAGAATGGAGGAAAGGGCATTATAGACTGAGGGAATAGAATTAGCCCAAGCCCAGAGGCTTAACGATGTATGGCCTATTTGGGGAGAACCAGCACCAGTCTTGCCGGGGCAGCGGGAGGAAGGCCTGACAGGTAGCTTACCTGCATCGTCAGTAATCGGTGGTTCCCAAATGGGTTGCCGTGAATGGCCTCCTTAAGCTAGTCATAGTCATTCCTCAAGGGGAGGATCCCCTGACCAAATATATTTGGAAAATTACAGAGATTCACCATTCATGTTAGCATTTTAGCAGCTCTAAAATGTCTTAGAGCAAGGAAATCCACTTTATTTAATTTAACCTGCTGTTTCCAGAACAGCGATAGATGCATTTTGGGAGAACAGAACACTTACTGATATTTTGCATAATATTAAAATGTCGTTTGGATGCCATGGTGAGAAGTGGGATTTTTACATAGTGAGCCATGGAGGTTTCTGAAGAGAGGATATTTCCCATTGATTTTTGAGGCAAAATAATTCTTACGAAAGTATGAAGAAGAAATTTAGAAGCACAATCAGAAAGGCTGGGAGGTTATTACAGTGGTTTAAAAGCATGAGGGTAAGGCCTCAAATCTGGAGAGTGGAAACAAAGATGAGAAGGTAAGCACCGGAGCAACACTGAGGAAGAACCGAGAGGACAATGGGCAAAAGCTCCTGCTGCTCACCAGGATGACGGAAGGAAGAAAGAGTGCATAGAACATTTGTTTGTTTATTTGTTTGCAGGGGGAAGTTGATGAGTTCAGATTTGGACATTAGGCCTGGTAGCTCCTAAATATTCAGGTTTGGATCTTCAGTGAGGAACCACTGTGGGAGGTAATGATTTGAAATGCATCAGCACAGAGATGATAATTGAAGCTATGGGGATGAATATGTTTGATCTGCGAAAATGAAGGGAGAGAGAAGAAAAGAAGGGAAAAGAGATAAGGAAGGGGGGGAGAAGAGGGAAGGGAGGGAAGGGAAACAAGAACATCCTAGATAATGGCTGTGTTTCAAGAGGGAATTAGAAGAGGGTCCCACAGAGAAATTGTAGCAAGGTCAGAAAGAAAACTAAAGACGGTAGAGAGTTTCAGGAAGGAGGGAATGATCAGCTGCATAAAACACTCTTTAGAGCCAGGGCTGAAAAGGGGCTTTCAAATTGCAAATAATTCTCAGGGAATTTTATGTTCTCAGTACTAGTGTCATCAGTTGATGTTATAGCACTGTAAACAAAATGAATTGTTGGAGTATAATTAAATTACATCTATATACTATATATATAACAACTATTAAATGCATTTAGTTCAGGAATGTGTGGAATGACTTGCTTACTTATAGATTTAGTTTAGCATTCTTTAGAGTTCCCTAACTCATTAGGAAATAAATACTTTAAAAGACCAAAATAACAATCTCTAACATTGGCTCCCTATATTTTTAGAAAAAGTACTATATTAATCAAGCACCACCCCCTGGACATTTTCCATCATTGAATGTGGTCAAATAAAGGAGCAGTCCACATGCCATTCCATCCATAGCACTTACAGTTGACCCACAGGCCAGATGCAGCCCAATAAGGTGCTTTGTTTGACGCACATAACGTTTTTACATCTTGGAGCCAATATTGAAAATTTAGAGATATCCCATAAAAATCTAGAATTTCTAGAAAAATCTAACAACAAAGCACTTGAAGTCTCGCACAGCTGTGTTTGATTGGAGCAGAGTCCTGGCTGCCCTTTGTGTGTCCAGTACCCTGACTAGACCCATACTGGTTCATGGGTGCCTCCCTGGCCTCTGTGCCATTTGAGCGTGCAAACCTTAATGTGTCTCAGAGCCACCTTCACTATAGGCTGCTCCAAGTCGAGTACTGGGAACAGTGGTTCGTCCGAGTCTTCTTTATTTGAACCCCTAAACAACTTTTACAAGCTATGTGGTAGCCCTTTGCATATATTTAAATAAACATCTAAAGTTTTTCATAATAAATTTAAATGGTATCAAATAGTGTCACTTTCACTATACTATAAATTTTGGTATTTTTACATAAGAATTTTACATTATTCTTTTAAACTAATCCTTAAACTAAACTCAATACCTGAGCAATTTGATACCCACTGTTATTCATTTTAAAAATATATTAACAGGTTTTTCTTTTACAGTTAGAAATTTTACATTATTCTCTTTTCTCCTTGAACTTATATTTCCATTCTACTTTCTCCACAGAATTTTATCCTCCTGTAAAATATTTTATGCTTGAAATTCGTTTAATCTTCACCCACACATACTTGTCTTCAACAAAACATGTTTATAAATTTAAACTTAAATATTTTCTGTGACCATGAGACTCTAAAGGGTCCAAAATTTCTTTTATACTGTTGTGATTACAATTATTATTACTCTATGGCTCAACAAATCAACATTAATAACAAAAATATTAAGTGTTATGATAAACGATTATCAAAAAGGAAAATGAATCTCATCAGAAGAATGTATATGGAAGTTGAAGATCTGGGAATATATTCCCTTAAAGTTATCCTCCCCATAATACCCTGTACTGCTTGAAGAGGCATCATGTACCACAAGTTAAAGGGATCGCAACTTGCACCCTTCTACTTCCAGTGCTCTTTGTACTCTGGAGGCACTGACCTGGAACAATGTGTAACATTAGACTATGAGGTGGGAC